TCACAAGCCCAAATAACTGCAAGACCTTCTCGCTCTGTTTGTGAATATCTCTGCTCAACTTGAGAGAGGGCTCTGTTTGCATATGCTACAACATGGTGTGTTTGAGGATCAGCAGGGTCTACTTGCATTAGTAGGGCTCCAAGTCCAACTGGGCTGGCATCAATATACAGTTGAGTATCGTAGTGTAAATTAAAATATTTTAGAACAGGTGCATGTACCAGTGCATCTTGTAGAGTGACTAGAGTTTGATCATGCCTGTCAGTCTATTTCCACAGAACATCCTTTTGCGTTAGTTCGCGAAGTGGTTGAGTTAGAGTAGCGTATCTTGGGATGAAGCGTGGACCTCAGTAGCTTGTCATTCCCAATAGACTACGTACTTCTGATGCACTTTGGGGTTTGTCCATCTGAACAACAGCTTGGATTTTTTTCGGATCAGGAGCAATTCCTTCTTTGGAGAAGACGTGACCAAAGAATTCAAGAGTGTTTGTTGTATGCAAATTTTTCAGAGTTTAATGTAAGTCCCTTTTCGTTTATTAACTTGTCTGTAAAGTTGATATCATGATACCATGGTTTAAACATCCGTTCCTAAAAATTCATCTTAAAGCATGAACACAAGGGGCGTAATTTTATTTAAACAGAAATTTAAAAAAAATGTAAATATATGAATATACCTAATGTGACGTCTATAATTCATGATGACTTATGTCCATAAAATTTAGTACAGATTAATCGTCGGTACTTTATGGGCAGATTTTATGTTAAACAAAACAAAACAAAACAAAACGAAAAATGTAATTGCAAATAGATGATATTCATAACTTGTATCATGATTGAGTGAGCGAATGCTGCTTAAAGATTTGTGCATTGTGAAACTGTTAAAAGGGCCGAAAAATGAAAAATGTAACTGTTGTAAATATGAAGATACTCAATGAGTTTCATATTTATTCACTTTAGGAAATATAGATAGGTATAAAACAAAAAATTATTAAAAAAACAGACAATGGAAAATAAAGGTGGGTTATCCCCACAAAAGAGAGAGAGAGAAACTTGCCTGTAAAGTTCACTATGTTCACACTACAAATAGGTTGGATTAAATTCAGTTGTTGAGAAGTTTTCCAACTAAGGAGTGATCCACCAGAACCTTTGACAACATAAAATGTTGTATGGTATTGCGGTGAGTGACATGTAACAGTTGTCGTGAACTTTCCAAGGATGTGAAAAGGTTGAACTGCCCTGTATGGAACAATTTTGATATATTGAACTGGATTAGAGTGGGTTTGTGTTTCATGCGTTGGTAGTCCTTTTCATCGATAATGTTGATGCTAGAACCAGAATCTGCCATCATGACGATGCTGTCACTCTCAATTTGGACTGTAAGGTGCGGTAGTTGTGAGGTGTGCTGAACTGAATATAGATATACTTCTTCATCCTCACTGAATTCACCTTTTGCTATTGTCACATTTAATCGAGAAGGTGCTTTATTAAATGCTTTGGTGGATTTACTTCTACAGTACTTCGCAAAGTGGTTTAACTTGCAACATGCTCGACAGATTTTTCCTCTTGCTGGACAGGTATTATTTCCTGTGTGAGGCCAATTTCCACCACAATTTCTGCATTTGGAATTAAGTACTCTTAATGCATTAGGAGGATTTCGCTGTACAGTTCGCTTTCCAATGTATTAAGCTTTTCTTTACTTCACTACTGAATGTTTTTTAACAGTTTCCTTGCCTTTATTTTCGAGTGCACTAGCTTGAGCCTCTGATGTTTCAAGCGCCCTAGCTTCCTTGAGGTCCAAGCTGGGTGCTTGAGTACTTCACGTCTAAGCTTTGTGTTGACTGTTTTTTTTGTGTAGCATCTGTGCACGTATTTCAGCATTGCTTTGTCACTCCAATTGGTATGGTACTCATTACATTCTTGTGACCCAGCTGAATTAAAATATACACTTTTTTTTTTAAACTAAAATTTTGCCCAGGCTCGGTGTTCTTTGGCTGATTTCAGGCTCAAAATGTTCTTATTTTGTTTGTAAACAAAAAATGATTTAATTGTATGGCAGTATGCACTGTACTGGAATGTAGATGAAAGCGACCCCACAAACAATTTCCCCCATCAGATAGGTACGCCTACTGTTCTGTATTATAGAGGGTATTACAGTCACACCTACTCGCATAATGTACAGATATAATATTTTGGTTTTTATAAATATAAACCTCATTTGAAATTTTACCTCAGTCTCAATTTGTTCTTAATTTTTAAGCAAATTTTGGCCTCTGTGTTCCTATTATAAAAAAAGTGTAATCGACAGAATATATAGTACCTTGTAATAGCTTCTACCAAATTTGTAAAACAATTGATATGAATGTAGGCCTCAGTTTGTATGTGTGTGTGTATGTATTTAACAACTTGCTATGAGTAACCCTCCTTCTGTGAATTCCTAACATGTATGTTATATAAATGAAAAAGCAAATGAAAAATGTATGTATGTGTGGTGTGTGTGTGTTTGTGAAGAGTGGTGGGGGGGGGGGAGTATTTACATCATTGGTTGTCTGACTATTTGATATTACTCGTCTCAAAGAAAAATGTACTGGGTTCTTTTCAGTGCACACAAGCCAAATTGTGTTACCCGGGCCTACGGTTTTCAGTCCTAATCCGAGAATATGACTTGTTACACCACCAGAACGGTGTCTATGAAACGAAGACCCAAGACCCAAAAATGAAGACCCCTATGTTTTTTCTCATTTATTTTGATGATAATACGCCAAGCTGTCTAAAAATAAAAATTATGAATTTTTTTTGGCGTCTGTTTGTGAATTTTTAAAGGGTCTCCGTTTAACGAAGACCTCCAATTATTTCTCAATTATCTTATTGAAGTATTTCAAAATCATCATAAAACAGTTGCCAAGTACTGCCGTTTTGTCGCTTTAGATTTAAAACGTCAACTGAGGAAAACGGCGAGAACACTGTCATCACTTTTGGGGAAATGCTGTTTTTATTTATTTTTTTTCTCCAATCACCATATATTTTTATTTCAAACGGTCGTTTTTCCATATTTTTTCACTTGATAAGCTCAGGATTTCTTGAAAATATGTTTATTGGTACAACAAAAACATATTTATACAACTGTGTTGGTTGAGGCACTATCAACTCGGGGTCATGCTTGTTGACGGTAATTAGTAGGCCTTTGACCGACTCGTCATGGCTAACCCAGAGACTGAGGACTGAATAGCATGTCTCATTTGCAAGTCCTGTTTGTTAACCTATTTTGGGTCTATAGGCCTGAGGTTTAGCACTGACTTCTGTCGCATTCTACAATAATCAATACTTACAGAAACAGAATGACTACCAGTAACATTCCTGAAATCATCAGTGATAAAATTCACCCATGCCAAAATTCACTATAAAAAGGTAGACTTTAGAAGGGTACGTAATCAGGGTCAACATATGACTTAATGACTATCTAGAATGTTTAACAATCCATAGAGAACAATCTAATGAATTAATCCAAACTGTAGAATTAATTAATTCAAATAAAATTATGCAAAATCGTCTGTACAGCAAAATCAAAGACTAGATTACTTTTAAATTCCTTTAGTAAAAAGTGAACCCCACTTAGAGATAATGGTAAAACTTTATTTTACTGCTTTAAAATCAAAATACCTCATGATATAATGGTACAACCCATCATTAAAAATCATTAAATATCTTAGTTTTCTAGATCTAGAAAAGTAAGATATCTTAGTTTTCTAGATCTAGAAAATTAAGGTATCTTAGTTTTCTAGATCTAGAAAATTATTCTAGATCTAGAAAAGTAAGATATCTTAGTTTTCTAGATCTAAAAAAGTAAGATATCTTAGTTTTCTGGATCTAGAAAAGTAAGATACCTTAGTTTTCTAGATCTAGAAAAGTAAGTTATCTTAGTTTTCTAGATCTAGAAAACTAAGATATCTTAGTTTTATAGATCTAGAAAACTAAGATATCTTACTTTTCTAGATCTAGAAAACTAAGATATCTTATGTCTTAGTTTTCTAGATCTTAGTTTTCTAGACACCTCTGCTGGTTTAGTAATTAATGATTCTAGTAAGAGAGAGTCGTGGCACTGGTGATAGGCCTACATTGCAATGCAGTACTTGATATACAGTAAATGAGATAGATGCAAAGGTATCTTTCGAGTGAACTATCTTAATTCACAAAGAAAGAAAGAGATTAAATAGACTAAAATCATAGACACAAAGATATCTGTGGTTCAAGCGCTGCCGTTTTAAAAAACTTAGTTATGCTGGTTTCAATCGAGAAACAGGCCAAGGTATATCACGCTTTAACTCGGGCCCTGTGTCTGTGCAATTTATTAGATAGTGCAACCTCAAGTGTAATCACGTATTGTATCGGTCCAGATGTAGTTCTTGTCACGCTGCATACATTTATTTAAGTAGTAGGCATATTATGATAAAAGAGGCCAACAAAAAGAAGCCTATGTCCAAGGTACAAGGTACATACATACATGGTACATACATACAGTACATGCATGCATACATATATGTGATAATAGGTAAACCTCTTTGCGGTAATGATTTATATATAAATTTTAAACGTTAAAGAGGAATCTGCGAGCGTACAAAAATAGGTGCCCCAGCTGGCATTCCAACCTGGGCCAGCCTTCTGTGCATATTATTACGGTAATCAATATAACACGATTGAAGTTGTTCCATGTATGCCTATATCTGTTATAAAATGGTTGGTAGACAAACATACTGAAAGACACTTTGACTTTAGACATTGATATTAATACAATTACTGTATCATATACAGTATACAAATAATTTCGGTTCAGAAATAGATAAGTAACAGCTAAATTTAAATGTAAATTTAGTTCAGAGAGAGAACCAAACTTTTATTGCCACACTGTCCTTTATCAGAACAATTAGAGGTATTAAAGATAAGACAGTATTAATAGTTATTAAGTATAATGTATACTGTATTTTAGTTATAGTTAGTTTATCTATATAGATAGTTTATCTATCCATCTTATTAATATAATATTTTTAACAGTAGTGTCATTTAGATTAGACATTGTGTTTCAATTACACTGCATGAGCTTTCAGTTCCGATTGCTTGGCGTCCCTCTTAAATTTGGACGTGATTTCTTCAAAAGTCCTGTTTCTGGTCTCTGGCACGAAGAAGTATGTGAAGGCAGTCGTTAGAGCTAAGAAGAACGTGAATACCAAAAATGTGAAAGCACCCATTCCTTCCTGAAACATAGAGGGTACAAAAGCGTATTGATGAGAAAGAAACTAAAAAATTGCGTCAATAAATAGACAAAACTAAGTTGCCATAGATTTAACCATTAGCATCATTGTCATCACCGTCTTTAACTGCAGCATTGTGTTTATCATGATCATGATCATGATCGTCATCATCATCATCATTATCATCATCGTCTTCCTCATCATATCATCACCATCATTATTTAGATAAGCTTAAAAAGCAGAATTAAAAAAAAAAAACAAGAACGTCTTTAAAATAAAAATAAAATTAATACTGTGAGATAAATTATTACAATTCTAATGAGATGGTTTTAATAAAAGAAACAGTCACACGATTGATAAGAAAAATAACAGAAATTAACGTAATAGGTTAGAAAAACTGAATAAAATAAACCGAGAAGATGGAATATAACGAATCTTCATATTTATTGTCAATAAAAGTCAGAAAATAAGATTCCTTATTTCAACATTTTAATCTATTATTATAAACTACCCGAGCACAGGGACGTCGCCAGGATTTTTAAAGTGGGGAGCCTTTATGCGAGGTACGTAGGACCCCTGCGGGACGAACCCCCCTGTGAAGTAGCGCACTCTGAACGTTTTAAGGACTGTTTTGGGAGGATAAAGTGAAAACTGCATTAGACACATCATAAATAACATTAGTAAGCCCAACAACAGTGCCGGATCCAGGAATTCGCAAGAGAGGTGACCCAGGGAGGGACTTTCACAGACTGAGGAACAACCACCCCAGCCCTAACATGATTGGGACTGAGGTAAGAACATTTATGATTAGGGCACCTATAGATTACACTTTCACACTTAAAATTAAATATATTTTCCTTTTTTCCTAAAAAAATTCCTATCCAAAATAGTCATAATCACGAAAAATGGGCATGAAAAACACGAGCACATCCTAAAAACAAATTTATGCACCCTCTCATCAACAGACTCGATGCAGTTTAATGTCATACCCAGGGAAGGGAGAAAATCTGTTTTGAAAAGGGGGGGGGGGCATTTTGTGAGTCGACACCCACCTCAGACTCACCATGGTTGGAGCCGAGGTGTGAAAATGTGAGGAAGTAGTACCTCTAGATCAGGGGTGGCGCTAGAGGGGGGTATAGCCCCCCCGTCGGGGAAGACGATAAATTTTGTCGGGGAACCAACAAATAAAAAAAATATTTACATGCAATATTCGTTTAGCCACCATATCGTTTGTGTTAACTTTTCATCACAACAACAATCACAATAATAATAATAATAATAATAATAATAATAATAATAATAATAATTCAATGAGACTAATTAAAAATAATTTGCGTTCTGTTATGACAAATGCTCATTTAGATAGCCTCATGATGGTTGGAATACATCGTGATAGGTGAAGCAACCTCGACCATGACAACGTGGTTGACAGAATTCATACAAAATTTCCAAAATATAGAATTTCACTTTCAAGAATGAGGATTTGAAAATAAATTAGATGGTTACATTGCATACTCTTTGTTTCTTGCTTTATTCAAAATGTTTTGGTTTTGGAAGCTGATGTCAACATTAGAAAGCATAGCCTACATGAAGTCATATAACCATGTAACTCGATGCCTATCAAACAAGTAATAAAAATTCGCCATAATTCATCAAATATCCGTGGCTTCCAGGGGGCTCCAACCGGGGGCCGTAGGCGGCCCCCTGGCCCCCAGCCAAGTGAGACTCGATTCTCTCCACTAGCCCCCCTCCCCATCGGGGCCTTTAGCCCCTCCGTCGGGCAGGTCCTGGCGCCACCCCTGCTCTAGATGGCCAGAAACGACACTTTTAGTAAAATTTATTAGCATCACATCATCATTAGTCAGTGGCGGACCGTAGGGTAAATTACAGGATATGCTAGGTGTTCTCATATCTAGGATGTGCAAGGGTCGAAAAAAAAAATACTCGCCCATCCCCCCACCCACAAATCATGCTCAAATCACATTATCTTGCGAATTATCCCTCTCACCTAATCACCGATCCCCACTTTACTTTCCCATCCCCCATCAGATCCCTTCCATTTAAAGACCCCTACGCCACTGATGCTAGGGCCTGCTAGGAATTTGTAAGTCTACTACTACTATAATACAGTATCAGATTGCGTTCTATAGTCAAAAGACAAATGTATGTTATTTTTAATACCGGCATGGTTTTAGTATCTTCTTTTTAAAAATAATTCCTATTCCTGTATTTTAACAAATTTCAGTTCAAATAATAATAATTCAAAGTTTCTTCTATATATCGGTTATATGCATGCAAACTTATATTTAAACTTTAATCATTGAGATAGGCATATAGATAGAATACCCGATCGGCAGTGGAGGTCCCGATTTGTGATTAGAGAAATGCTAAATCAAATGCAGAAACTGTACTACTATAATTTTTAAATTTGTTTTAGCCAGGGTATGCACTGCATACCTTGCTTCCCTTGACGGTCCGCCACTGCCATTAGTCCAAATGAAGGTCCAAAAAAAAATCTCATGATCTTTTATCAGGGATTTTTGGCAACCATATCTTATCAATATGTGTGATATACCATAGAAAACAAAGCTTAAAAACATTGTCTTTGAGTATGTTCTTTACATACTTCTAAACCGTAGTTTCACAACATCTGGATGGCCGGAAATGACACTTTTACATAGTAAAAATCATCATCATCACACCCCCCCCCCCCTTCACCAACTGGATACGTCCCTGCCGGAGCAAAAACTTCGCGTTATCCTAATGTCCCTTTCAATGCCGTAGCCAGCTATTGGGACAATTGAGACAGTCCCACATACTTTTTCTATTAGGTTCACAAAGAATGGGTCTACATTTCTAAAAAATGGTATACATTATGCTGTTTTATGCACAAAATGAAAAAAATGGTACAGATTTCTCATATTTTGCGTAAAATGTTTCACCTTTTATGATAATAGGTCCAGATATTTCATTTTTTTGCATAAAATGGGTCAAATTTTAAGATAATGGGTCCATATTATTTGAATTTACGTGTAAGGTTGGTGCACCCTTTTACTGTCCCACACTGTTTGAAAATCCTGTCTACGGCTTTGTCCTTTTTGACTTGTGTTTTCGTCTAAACATCTCAATATTTTAATTATTTTCTGTGGTCAATGGTCATATTCAGCAATAAAAAAAAAACATCAACATCATCATCAGTGTCATCCCCTTTATCGTTTTCTGTATTAATGAGCGTTGTCAATTAACAAACCTGCATAAACGGAAACGCCAGTCCGACTATAAATGTTGACCACCAGTTGCACTGGACAGCTAAGCTCATGGCAGCTGGACGCGGACCTTGGGCCCAAAGCTCTGGTACAACTACAAAAGGCATTGGACCTGGAAGCAAAGATGTGAAGAAATGATGGACCAACCTTGAGGCACAACTTTACCTACAAAACCGCCGGTTTAAAATTTTTTGGGGTACCCTTCGTACTGCAGCTCCAGTGGAAAGTGTAATGCAGTAACGTGTGATTTGCAAGTGTGCATCACAAAAATATGTCGTTTATTGTTGTATAATTTTAGATGTTTTTTGTTGGTTAATTATTTGGTTAATTGCTTAAATATTGGTTAATTAATTGATTGATTTGACTCATTGATTTACTGATTGATTGATTGATCGATTGATTAAAATACCTGGTCCAATTGCAAATCCGATAATGTAAAAGTAAATGAACACGAGTGTAACCCACTGCCAAGCATCGCCCTGAAAGGCAAAGTTAAACGAATATGAAGTAAATATTATCTCGGTAAAAACGGTAACGACAAAACAATGCAGATATGATTAAAACTTCTCATGCAAACATCACTGTGTTAGTAGGATTCTAACGTTCTCACCCCGGATGCATAGTTTAAGGTCTGGCTTCGGCCTTAGGATGTAACGTTTCTACCCCGGGATGCATAGTTTGGGGTATGCGTACTGCGGGCAGCCTTAGGATTTAACGTTCCTGCCTCGAGATGCAGACTTTGGTCTTGGGATGTAACGTTCCTACCCCGGGATGCATGCAGGCTTCGGCCTTAAGTACTTGATTTTATTTTTCCATACAGCTAAGGCAGAAGTTATAGAGGGTGCTATTTAAAGTCATTACAATACAATATTGGATTACACTTTCATAACAGGGGCATAAGTTAGACAAATCATAACTGTGCATCCAAAAAAGAACAAAATGTAAGCAACAAAAATATAAAATGAAATTCTTAACTACAAAAGAGGTGTGCACATTAATCAAATTACATTATTGCTCACCCACCAATTAAATAAACTACAAACTAAACCAGAATATAAGATCTGTTTGAAAAGTCTTGCAAAGCAAATAAAAACCAAGACGCTAACTCACCTTGTAACCCTCCGAACCGACGCCACAGGACCCCCGCCAGGCAATGCAACCAGCCGAATGCTAGCTGTCTTTCCTGTCGTCGGGTGTTGTTCGACAGAGAAGACAAGCAGCCAGACAGTCGGGTCGCACTGCCCGAAGAAGGTCCGACGAAATCGGCCCGAAAACGAATTTTCAGTCAGTAAAATAGAAGAGTCAGTAAATAGAAACCAAATAAAATTATGTGAACATTTAAGAAAATAAAAACAAAATTAAAAGAGAAGCATTTACAGTAAATGCTCGAATAAGCGTCGCTCTCGAATAAGCGCCGCACCAAACATGATTTTTCGTTAAGCGCCGCTCTCGAATAAGCGCCGCGGCGCTTAATCAAGAGTATATTATAATATTACCCTGTGTGTAATGAAACAGGGTTTTAAATTCAATGTAGGTCTATACAGTGTTAAAATGAATAAATAACACAATGAAGACACAAGCATTTCTTATAAGCGTTTGTTTACGATGATAGGACCTATGATAGGCCTACTGAACTACGGGAAAACGTGAAATAGGTAACATGAAAACGGGCAAAAAAGCGCCACGCCATTTTTTTTCCTTCTTTATAAGCGCCACTCTCGAATAAGCGCCATATGCGCCGCACTAAAGCCGCCAAAAATTTTATAAGCGCCGCAGCGCTTATTCTAGCATTTACGGTAACTGAAAACATGAATATGTATGATTGACTTCTCCCTCGCGAAAGCAGTTGTCGCTGCTTGTGGACGAAAGCTACGGCGCCGTAGTAGGATTAGAGTAGGCCAAAATCTCCGGTAGTCGGTCGAGTGTAATCGACACAGTGAACATTAATGGACTATTGGATAATAATAATATCCCAATGCCTATAGACACAGCATGGTTTGAAAGTATGCAAAGCAGCGTTGAATCTGGTTGATTATCTTGTGTAGTAGGCCTATAGTAGTGTAAAGATATAGCATACATACTAACTGTTATAGTACTACTGATTCTGAAGGATATAAACGCTTAAAAATGCTCGGACACAGGATATTAAAACAATTATATGTATCATTTTAATGTTGATTTTTTTTAACATAACATAACATAACATTATATTATAAACATTAATTTTACCGAAACTGACGATATTGACTATATGACGTACTGAATATATGACGTACTGTATACCGTATTAAAGGCTGTCTACCCAAAAATGCATCATCATCATCATCATCATCCTGTTTGTCCCCTCATTTTTGGGTCGGGTGGTCTCATTATCGTCCTCCATCTGGTGCGATCCATGACTGCTTCTAGGTCCACCAATCTTCCATCTTCTCAGATACAGTCCATCCATCTTTTTCTGGGTCTCCCTCTTGGTCTACTCCCATTTCCACTCTTTATTTCTTTTTTTTAAATTTCAATTATAGAAATAAATATGTCATTTAAAAAACAGATGGGAGTAAAACGTAGTTTTCACTGATTTACAGACAGTTCTACAAAAAAAATCCTTAAATTTTACCAGCCAATGAGTCATGCAAAATAATACAGCAAATACGCAACTATCATCGACACACATTCAGTCGCGAGAGTACAGAGAATTTTTTTTTCAATCGCGAATACATCGTAACGTAAAACAGGGCTTTATACACCAGATCAACGCATATTCTCGCTACTGCACGGAACTGAAGTTCATCAAACTTTTGCCGGTAGTCTAGGTATAGGATATTTCAGACAATCGTCTATGTGTGTAATTCAGCAGTTTTTTCGTGGTTGTGACGATTTTTGACCGACATTTTATTACCTTTTTAAAAAGCGTACGCCAGGGTTTAACCCCTCCCCACTAACGTACGCTTGTGAAAATGTTGATAATTGTGAAGGACCCCTAAGCCATGCTGCACATAAACTGTGTTTAGTCGTAGGGATATAATATTACAATTATAATGCATTAATTTTCACACTGTCTTGACTTAGAAAGGCCTATTTAATGAGATTTTGGCCTACGCCGTAGCATTCACAAGCATAGGCACTGCAAGCACCCCATACTCGATACACTACTGAATTCTGTTTTGCGTGGAGGTCAGGTATGCATTATTATGTATTCAGTTCACCTATCTCACCTAAAATAGCGCCCTTTATAATTTCTGCATTAACTGTATGTGAAAAAAATAATGCACCCCCACTTATACCTCCCACCACCCCCGTTGCACAGTTAAGTTGATGTTGTTTTGTTACACCTTTTGTTGAATGTTTCGGGAATCACATCTTCTGTTAATGTGGGGTTCCTCATTTATTGCTTTTGACTTTGTTTTGTTTTGTTTTTTTTAAATTAATAAGTAAATATTGAAAATGTATACTGTACGTGTATATGCAGCTGATTGTGTTTTCCACTTTTTCTTGTTAATACTTTTGATGATGTTTATTTATTCTATTGATATAAAATTCTGAAATAAAAGATGAATTAAAAAAATGAAAAAAAAAACAATTATTATTATGTTATATAAATGTTATATAAGAAAAAAATCATCACTGAAGAGTCTTACATACGGATACGAAAAAATTAAAAACGACATATTCAAACACTATTGCTTTAGGAAGCGTTTGAGGAGCTGGTTGTATATAGATTATCTGCAGAACTAAAACTATCAGAATTATAATAATAGAGATTGGCGTTTGATATATAAATTATAGTACTTACATCTAAACTCAAAGATAACGTAATGATAGCAGTGATGAATATCATAACGGCGTAAGGGTAGAGCATCAGAACACGCCGCCCTGTCCTCTCTACAATGTAAACCTATAAAATACAAAGCAAAAATCCGAATTTAAATTAGATTATAATCACTATACACAGCTATGGTTATATGGATAATTAAATTTTGGATAATGCTTTGAACAGGCCTTTTTAATGACACAAGGAAATGTAGCAAGAAGGATTCAATTTAATCACAGACCCTATAGATCTATATAGAGCCTGTGATCTAATCAATCAACAATATCATCATTATCAACAACAAATAAACAATAAAAATAATATTCATACTGGGACAATATACCACAGGAGGACGAACGTTTTGTGGCAACTCAGTAGCGATTTTAACCATTTTAAAGCTGATCGCAATTACGGACACTTTACGGACACTTTCGACTTTAAGTTAGTTGCTTGAATATATACTCACTGCCACTAGTGTCATCATGACATTTATGAGACCAGTACCAACCGTTGCTTTGGCAACTGCGTCCTCATCCATTTGTGCCTGCTCATAAATCTCAGTGGCATAAAACATCACCTGTATAATAATAATAATAATAATAATATTGAGATGACAATGATGATGATTAAGATGATAATAATGATGATGATGCGTGAAAGACATCAGCAAAATTAATGCAACAATAACACAATAACAATGAATGCAACAATATTCACAATAACAACCAAAATGCAATTAAATAACAAAAAAAAAACCCCAGTAAAACTAGCAATAGCAATAACAACAGTAAAAATAAGAATAACAATAATAGACATACCGCATTGATTCCAGAAAACTGTTGACCAGCATGTAGGAGAACGGAGATGATAAGTGGCATCTTCCACCAACTCTCCTTCATTCGAATGACGTCCAGCATTGTTATCTTTCCTTCATCATAAGCTATGCTTTGCCGATGCTCCTCTTTTATCTCATCTATATCGTTCTCAACATCATCTTTTCCACGTAATTTCACCATAGCTACAACGATCAAATTGAATTGACAAGAAATATTGCTCATTTGTACCCAACATCATAAATGTTAAAAAAAAAGTATTTGTTTGGATGACCCACACAATTTGAAACGTTCACCTATAGGCCTATCCTGATATCGTTAGGGATCATCTAAACGAATGTTTTTGCGTTTAAATTCAATTATGTTATTAGTTTGTCTTAAATTATACTATATGAATTATGCTTAAATTATTATACACGTCGCCTACATTATGCATAAAATATGCATTATGCATAACTTATCCAATAATTATGTATTATATTATTACAAATCTATAGGCGCACTGTGTGACTTTATTATAAATTATTGCATTTTTAATATATGTTAAGCACTTGTTAACAAATGACAAAAAATTTACAAATTTAAAATTAATGATACCCTTCAGATCTCAAATGTGTTTCTTACTTTGATAATATCAAATGTTTAATCAATTTTAATTTACATTTGAACTTCAACGTTTTCGCATTACTTTTTTATATCTTAATTGATGTATATAAAATTCCTTAATAACATGTATTTAATTTTTCTGTGAATTTCTCTTTTCTAAATGAATGTATATATCAACCATATATTTAATTAATACCTAATTGTATATACAATTTTCGATTTTTTCTTTTAATTTTACCTACCCTTCCTTTTTCCTTTTTAATTTTTAAGATGTGTATCGAATATTTAATTTATTTTTTGTGGTATTTTTATGTTTGTCTACTTCTTTCGACTCCAAATTGTTTACAAATTGCAATAAAGATAGGCCTACTTTGAATTGTGTTGTTAATTGTTACAGTAGGCTGCTCTATGTATTACATCACAGTCTGTATATATACCTTCTCTGGCTTTGTCTTCATCGCCTTTGTTGATAAGAAGCCAACGCGGACTTTCTGGACACATAAGCAAAATTAAACAACCACCAAAACCGATTGCTCCAGTCAATGCGAGGCAAATAGGCCAACCATCAGAACTATCTAATACATAAAGACCAAAAACCTAAACAGAAAATGGAGTTTAAATTAAATAATGTCGTTTATCTATTTCAAATTTTATCCACCATGCTCTGCACTTAAATTGGGCCTACGGAATACTAACCACTGGAAAATTGGTTACTAGTTTTTAAATTTTTCTCTACCACGTGCAAATGTTCAATAAAATCAGTTCAAACGACAGTAATGTAGGCCTAGATCGTATTTATGTAAAAATACGACACTAGAAAAACAAGTAAACCCAGTAAGCCACTTTAGAGGCGAGATTCCATCGAGTGTATTAGTTAACAATATAAATCTCATTTGAAAATGGATTTTAGGCTCTAAATTTGGGTCACTCAATCTTTATTTTGTCTTAATGCACGCCATACCTAATTAAATTGGCGTAACATACTCGATTTTCTTTTTTTTCCCTTTCGTCTGCGCTATCCAGAATAAGAAAAAAAATTAACAAGGGCCTTGAGGCAAGTCTAATTTGAACAGGGCCAATAGCAAAGAAGCCAAAAATGTCGGACCCGTTTCGAAAGGAACCGAACGAGGCTTAACTTGATCGCTGATAACGGTATTGTAAGTTTCTGTTGACACAGATCAGGGCCAGATTTTAGGGCGGGGGTGCCTCTATCCTTGTGTTTTGGTAAATTTAAAACAAATGAAAGAAAAAAAAGAAAGAAAGAAAGAAAGAAAGAAAATAAAAAAAAATGATCACCTAAACGCCCCAGAGGTTATTTTCGGGCATCTAGAAAACAAAAATTTCGCATGTCCTAAACTACATAGTGTGCTGTAGTCTGCATTGGCCCCAGTTTCTCCCCTTTGCAGTTCCCCCTCCACCTTTTCGGACATTTCTGAGTCCGCCCCTGCAGATCTGGAAATTATTTGTGATGACATTCTCTTTACTTGTTCCAATTTCCTTGAATTGTACAGCGCCATCGGAAAGTCGGGGTTTTGGATTGAAACGCTAATAACACTATATGGAACATAGGTCAGTCATTGGACAGTAGTCAGGCAATGCATTACGTGGAATCAGAGAAACTTTACCTGCGCCATCAAGATGCCAACTGTTATAGCCAGTTGATGACATGTACCAATGGCACCTCTGTAGTTGACAGGCGATATCTCAGCCAAATATAGAGGTACGATTGTGATAGATATACCAACGCTCAAGCCGATGACGATGCGTCCTATTATCACCATCTCATAACTGTTAGCAACTTGACTTAATCCCATCATGAGGGAGGCTGACACGGAGAATACATTATTAAAAATCAATGCTCCTTTGCTGAAATTAAATTAAAATGTATTTTACATTAAGTGTATAGGCCTATGTTTAATTAAAATCGCTGTAAAGGCGAGCGTCATAACCATTACACCACAGAGTCTCCATGGTTGTTCTTCATGTCCTTTATTCGAACACTGTATTTACCTTTCTTTGATGAAGCCTTTGTGGTCTAATGGTTGTGACGCTCACCTTGACAGCTAGAGGTTGCAGGTTCGAATCCCGTCTGAAGAATTTTAATA